CACTAGGGACATAGAAACAGACAATGATGCCACTATTCCTTCCTAAGTGCTCCCAGGAAGACAATTCTTTGGGATTTGAAAGGCAGAGGCTTGCTTTGCTTGCTTTAAACACAGAAGTAAATTAAAAAAAAATCATAAGGCAGGACCTTACAGAAAGGGTATGGTGTGGGCATCTGAAGATGGGCGTCTCACTGCTGGTGCTTCATGATTTGATGCATTTTTTTTGTCAAATTATTTAAGACTTTTGCTCAAATTCTAACATTCTTTCCTTCCTAATTAATTTAGTAGGGTTTTGAACCCAGGGACTGACACTTGCTAGTCAAATACTGTACCACTAGAGACATGACCTAGCTCTTTTTGTTTTGGTTCCATTTCTTTTTTCTTTTTCTTTTTTTTGGGGGAGGGGGTCTGGTTGTGGGGCCTGAACTCTGCGCCTGGGCCCTGTCCCTCAGCTCTTCAGCTCAAGGCTAGCGCTCTACCACTTGAGCCACAGCATCACTTCCTGCTTTTTTGTTTTTGCTTATGTAGTGCTGAGGAATTGAACCCGGGGCCTCAGCATGCAAGGCAAGCGCTCTACCGCTGAGCCACCTTCCCAGCCCCTTGGTTCCATTTCAAGATAGGGTCTCACTTTCTGCCAGGGCCTACCTGGATTAGGATTTTTCCACGTAGCTAGGATGACATATGTAAATTACCATGCCCAGTTTTTCTGTTAAGATGGTGTCTCATAAATTCTGCCTGAGCTGGCCTAGAACCTCAGTCCTTCCAATTTCAGCCTCCTGTATAGGATTACAGTATAGGTATAACCCACCATGCCTATAATTGACTAATTTTCCAATTCATAAAACAAGTGTTGAGGGGCTGGGAAGGTGGCTCAGCCGTACAGTGCTTGCCTTGCATGTATAAGGCTCTGGGTTCGAGTCCTCAGCACCACAGAAAAGGCCAGAAGTGGTACTGTGGTTCAAGAGGTAGAGCACTAGCCTTGAGCTGAAGAGCTGAGGGACAGCACCCAGGCCTAGAGTTCAAGCCCCACGACCTACCAAAACAAAACAAAACAAAAAAACAAGTGTTAGAAGACCTCATCGGACAGTGGGGGAAATTAGTTGAAATAATGCATGGTAAGCTGAAAGGAGATGGTTAATAAGTATTCATTTCACAGAAGAATTGGAGAGAAAGGAAATCACTAGATTCTCAGCTTATTCCACAGAAGGAAGCCCTAGGTGTCATGCAATTTGTTGAGTGCCTGGTATTAGTGAAGATGCTTATCACTCAACATGAGATCCCAAAAAATAATCTGGGCCTCAGAACCAGTTTCTCTGGGTAGCAAGAATTGACACTGGCTGGGCAGGAGATCTAATCTACATCTCCTTTGAGTCTTTGGCTGTGCTCAGGAAACCAGTCCTTCCTTTCTGCTACCAACACCACGTTCCTGTTCTAGGGAGGCCTGGATGACACAGCTTCATGTCACCCAGTGGCCTCCAGAGTGTGTCAGGGGAGGAGCTGTGTCCTTGCTGGAATTGAAAAGCATCCTTGAGGGCTGAAACTTTTACAGCGAAGGTTACCATGCCAACGACAGCACAACAGGGATAAAAGGAGGAAACAAGGCCGTGGGTGACACGCATCTATTGTATGTCCACAAATTTGCCTGGAACTATCAAGGGGCTGCTAACTGCTGCTCAGCAGGGCATGGCATAGAGAATCAAACCTGAATTCTAGAACAAGCTGGACCGATCAGGGTAGGGCCAACAGGAGAGGATTGGGAAATGCCCTTCTAAGATTGATACCCATCTTTTGGTGAAATGTGTGGGTGTGGTACTGACAGCAGGCATGGGTGGGAATGGTGTCCTAGATACTAGGTTCTGGCTGTGATGGAACTTGAACTTCCTCTAGGCTTTTTTTTTTTTCTTTTTTGGTTGGTCGTGGGTCTTGAACTCGGCCTGGGCGCTGTCCCTCAGCTCTTCAGCTCAAGGCTAGCGCTCTACCACTTGAGCTACAGCGCCACTTCCGTTTTTTTTTCTGATTGGTTTATTGGAGATAAATAAGAGTCTCACGGAGTTTCCCGCCCAAGCTGGCTTTGAACCGAGATCCTCAGATCTCAGCCTCCTGAGTAGCTGGGAATACAGGCGTGAGCCACTGACGCCCGGCTTAGGCTTTTTTTCCTTTTGTCCTTGCCAGACCTGATCCCAGAGACCCTCTGTGCTCTGGGGGGAGGTAGAGAAGGGCAGTAGGCAGGGACAGCAGGTCACTTGAGCAGCTACTGATGTGAGAAAAGGGAGTCTCAGGACCTCAAGCGTGGTACAAGTATTCAAATCTTGGCAATAAAGCTTTGGTGGGCTGGGGACACAGCTCAAAGGTAGAGTGCTTCCCTCACATGCACAAGGCCTTGAGTTCCAGTCTTACCACTCAAATGGTGGTGGTGGTGGTGTGGCACCCAGAAATGTCAAAGGAGGCACAGCCTCTCCAACGGGGTAGGGCCTTCCAGGAAGACTGTCCCAAATGTTCAAGAGAGTGCCTATTCCATGTCCACACACTCACACACACACTCACACACTCACATTCTCTCTCTCTCTCCATTTCATTTGCTTGTCAAAACAAACTTGCAAAGCAGGGCTTATTGATTCCCATTTCCCTGCGAACGTCGAGGTTTGCAGAAGATGAAGTCTATCATTCCTAGAATCAATCAACCAGCTGGGAAGGGAAGGCGCTGGGGCTGGGCACTGCTCTGTCTGAACCTTGGAAATGAAAACACTAGGCCTTAGGAATGTCTTAGTTTCTTCTGGAAAGCTCTCTTCCATCCAGGCTTGGGGTGTGGGGGGGAGCAGTGGGCTGGGAAGAGGCTGTAGGAAGCCCCGTCATCCGTGGTCTGGGAAAACCGCCTCCGCCTACAGTCCGCAGAGCAGGGCCTTCTTTCTCATTTCTCTCCCTCCTCTCCTCGGCAGACCCAGTGGCTCAGAGACCACAGCGGCTTCTCGAAGGTCACAGAGCGCACGCGCGCGCGCGGCCGAGCTGGGATCCTGAGAGACGGGCGCGCGCGGGGGGCGGGGGAGGCGGGGCGCGCTCGCGGCTCCCGTTGGGCGCGGGGCGGGCGCGCGGGGGCGGGCGCGCGTGCGCGCGGCGCAGGCTCGGCGGCCCTCGGCGGCGGAAGCGCCTCCATCTCGGGCGCGCTCCCCGCCCCCGGCCCGCCCCTGGTCCGCCCCCGCCCGCCCCGCGCCATGTATGGCGCTTCCTCCCCGAGCTCTACAAGGCACTTCCTCCCAGTCCGAGGCCCATACAAGGCGCTTCCTTCCCGGCGCGGCTGGCAGGCGGCCCACGGAGCTTTGCGGGCTGGGAGCCCGGCCCCGGGGGCCGCCCGCGCCGGGGAACCCGAGGCCGAGGGACCCTGCCAAGGAGGCGGCGGCGGCGGGAGGGGGCGCGCAGCTCGGCGCGGGCGGAGGGAAGCGCGAGGTAGGCCCCGCTGGGGCTCCCCGGGAGGCGCTTCCCGTCGCCTCGCTCAGGTCCGAGGCGCCCCCTGCCCCCCGCGTCTCCCCGATCGCACCCGTCCACCCCCCCCCCCCAGCACAGCACATCCTTGCGAGGGATCCCCGAAGCCCAGCTCCTCGGCCGTGGGCTTCCCAGCCCGCAGCTCCTCCACCGCCTTCCTGCCCTTGATCTGGCAAGATGACTTTAGGGTAATAGCTGCTTGTGTCGCTCTCCTTTCCTCCCTTCTGGCTGCCTTTACTCGAGCTGTCTTCTCTGCCCCCTGCAGTGCCCTGCCCGTATCGCTCTGGTAGGCCGCGCTGCTCAAGCTTTGTGGACACCCTCCACCCCACCCCGTAGGTCACCAGACCGCTGCCCCTAACTACCTTCTTTATGCATCCGTCTTTCGGGACCGTATTTTGGTCTTAAACTCGTCCTTCCGTTCCTACTCCCCAACCCAGACAAGAAGGAGTTCTTACTGTTTTTGAATGATACTAAAGTGGGAAAGGACCTTGTTAGCAACCAGGCTTCCACAAGTCCCTTTTCAGCTTGGTCAGGGATCTTTAATTTTAGGTCTGGTCCCCTGAACGCCCCTGTGCTCTGAAGACAACACACAGGTTCCAAAACACTAGATGAGTAATTTGGCTCCTTAGGAAGAAGTTGGAGTGTGGGGTTGGGGGAGCCATGGGTAGGCCAGGTGTCAGGCCACAGGAGGGGTGTGTGTGCCCGCGGTGTAGAACAGTACCTTTGAGGTGCCTCACAATCCCTAGTGGTCTTTCTTGCTCAGCTTGCTGGGCAAGAATCCACTACAAGAACTAGCAAGCCCCCACAGGCCTTCCCTACAGTTCCTGAAGGGACTTAAACTTGACCCTGCCACGTGGTTCCCTGATCTGATCTGATCTGCCTGAGAGCAAAGGTCAGAGAAGCACCAGCACCACTGTCATCCAAACTCAACTTTGGGCCTGGAGAAAAGCAAGCTCTTAGATGCCCCCTGGACCAACCTGAGTATCCTGTTTGTTCTGCCCCAGGTGAGATGGGGAAAGACTTAACTATACATTTTTGTAATTTGGGGAGAGGAAGGGATATAGCCGAATGCTTAAATGGGGATGCAGGTTGACCCATTGGAACGAAGAGATGTACAGGACACTATGTTGAAAAAGAACTTTACAATGGGGGGGTGGTGAGGGAGGAGTTGGGGAGGGAAGGGATGGTAGGGGAAAAAACAGGAGGAGGTAATAATGCTCGATAAGAAATGTACTCATGGGCTGGGAAGGTGGCTCAGTGGTAGAGTGCTTGCCTTGCATGCATGAGGCCCTGGGTTCGATTCCTCAGCACCACATAAGCAGAAAGAAAAAAGCCAGAAGTGGCACTGTGGCTCAAGTGGTAGAGTGCTATCCTTGAGCTGAAGAGCTGAGGGAGCGCCTAGGCCCAGAGTTCAGGCCCCACTACCGGACCCGCCCCCCCCCAAAAAAGAAATGTACTCATTACCCTACTCATGTAACTGTAACCCCTCTGTACAGCATTTTTATAATAAAAATAAATATATAGTGTTCGCTTCAGCAACACATATACTAAAATTGGAACGATACAGATTAGCATGGCCCTTGTGCAAGGATGACATGCAAATTCGTGAAGCGTTCCCTATTTTTAGGAATAAAACTCTAAACAAGCAAAAAAAAAAAAAAATATATATATATATAAATAAAAGACTAAGCCCTAAGAGCTAACAAGAGGTTCTAGCTTACACCTGCACGTTCCCCCCCCAATACACGTGTCCTCGCACAAGCATGCATAATTATTATTACAAATGAGGAATGAGGCCAAAAGATAAACTGCTGTCTCCCCCCACCGGTTAGCTGAGTACCTGTGAATAGGATTCAAGGGAGAGGCTCTCAAAAGCAGGTTGGGGAAAACCATGGTTCACAGACTTTATACTCCCTGGGGCCTAGGATACCCCTTTCAGTGTTTCCACCTAGGCTACAGGCACCTAGCAACCTCTTTTGCCTAGCTATTAGCTAGGATTATGGGTAGTCCACAGAGATGAGGTTTTCGATGGTGTCTTCTATCCTCTTCCCTTTGTGCCCCCTGCTGGCCACTGTCCTCTACTCTCAGGACAGGTTAGGGAAGGAACAAGGAACTTGCTCCTTGCAAGTCTGAGATATTCCCCAGCTAGACACCCAAGAGCTATTTATAATCGAGTCTTGTGGAAAGGGAAGGCCTGAAAAGAAATGGGGAGTTCCGGCAGACTGGTACAGAATTTGCAGGGACACCAGGCTTCTTGGGCAGGCCTTCTGTTTTCTGGGCGAGGGGGCTTTGAGCCTTCTCTGAAAGCCTTATGAATTGGTAGGGGTCTTGGGTCTATGTTAAGAAAAAGGACAGGTGATTCACATCTGTCCTAGCTACTTGGGAGGCTGAGAGGAGAATCACTGCAAGGCCATCGCAGGCAGGAAGTCTACAAGATTCCATCTCAATCAAGATTCTTAGCTGTTACAGGAATCAAAATGGGTTGTCTACGAGGCTCAGACAGAAAGCAAGACCCTATCAAAATAACCAGTGCAAAAAGGACTAGAAGTGCAGGGTGCTGGTGGCTCAAGCTTGTAATCCTAGCTACTCAGGAGGCTGAGAGCTGAGGATTGTTGCTCAAAGCCAGTCCAGGTAAGAAAGTCTGTGAGACTCTTATCTCCAGTTTACCCAGGAAAAAGCCAGAGTAGCACTGTGGCTCTAGTGGTAGAGCGATAGCCTTGAGCAAAAGATGCTCAGGGACGGCAGCCAGGCTCTGAGGTCAAGCCTCAGGACTGGAACAAAACAAAACAGAAAAGCAGCCCAGTGCTGCCAGATCATGTCTACAATCTTAACTATTTGAGAGGCTGAGATCTGATGAGCACAGTTTGGAGCCAGCTTAGGCAGACAAATCTTTGCGACTGTTATCTCTGGTTAACCAGCAAAACACCAGAAGTGACACCAGTGCCTCACAGCAAGACTGGATCGGAATTTACTGGGTCTCCCTACCCTACAAAGCCCTCTCAGTTCCTTGTGCTTTTTGCTTGCCTGGGTTTGCCCTTAGATTGGACATTGTAAATGACATGGACTTGACTGTCTTGTCGACTGTAAGAGCCCCATTGCCTGGCCTGGTGAGCAGCATCAAATGAATTAAGAGGAATCAACGATAGCTACTGCTGTTTGTGGAATGCTTGATATATACCCTATTGTTATCTTTAATCAGTGTCTGTTAGAAAATAGTTCCAGCCATTTCAATGCCTTTCACTTGGATGTGAAAGTGACAGGACTGTCAAAGAACTTGGCCTTAGAAGTGCTGTGCTACAAACAGCAGGAGGCTGTCTTGATGCTGGCATCCATTTGGTACCTCTGGCTCCAGGGCAGCAGGTCAAGGACGGCAGCTGGGATAGAACTGGACAGGAACTCCCCTGCCACACACACATTGCTTGCAGTGGTGCTGTCCTGTCTGGCCCCATGATATGGATAATGTAGAGACAAGAGCTGCCAGGGAATCCCGCATAAGAAGCTTACCGAGATGGACCTGTGCTCATCCACCAGTCGGGATTCTGAGGCAGGGGCCATGGGGCTGGAGCTGGCAGTAGGCTTGAAAGCTATGCAGCATTCTCAAATGTTATCAAGACCTACTGTCTCTGAATTTAGTAGAATTTTTTCCTGTCTTCATCTTTCTTAATTTTTAGCAACATGTAATTTGTATGTGATTACTTCTAATTGGGTTTCTTTATTTTTTGGATAATATTGGTGTTTGAATTTGGGGCTTTGTGATTGATAGGCAGGTGTTCTATCACGTGGGCCACAACTCTAGTTTCCCCCCTTTTTTGCTGCTGCTACTACTACTACTATTTTGTGTGTGTGTGCGCGGGTGCGTGCGGGTGCACGCGTGCCAGTTCCAGGGCTTGAACTCAGGACCTGGGTGCTGTCCTTGAGCTTTTTGCTAGCATTCTGCCACCTGAGCCACAGATCTATTTCTCAGATCACAGCCTCCTGAGTAGCCAGGATTATACATGCATGCGCCACTGGCTCCTGGCTGCTCTGATTATTTTTTTATTTTAATTTTTTTTGTTGGTATGGGGCTTGAACTCAGCCTGGGCGCTGTCCCTGAGCCTTTTTGTGTTCAATCCTAGGGCTCTATTACTTGAGCCACAGCGTCACTTTTCACTTTTTGACTGGTTAATTGGAGATAAGAATCTCATGGGAACTTTTCTGTCTAGGCTGGTTTTGAATCTCAGTCCTCAAATCTCAGCCTCCTGAGTAGCTAGGATTACAGGTGTGAGCCACAAGTGCTTTAATTGCTTTTAATTAATTACTTTTTAATTACTTAATTTATTTAAATTACTCAGTTTAATTACTTTTTAGATAGTTTCTTGCTTTTGCCCAGGCTGTCCTAAACAATGATTTCCCCTTACACTTTCACTATATAGCTGGGATGATAGGATGCCCAGCTATTGGTTGAGATGAGGGTTGATTGTAACTTTTTGCCCTAGCTGGCTTGTATGATCTTTCTGTTCTTTGATCTCTGCCTCCCTAGTAGCTTGGCCTACAGATGTAAGCCATTAGAGCCAAGTTCATTAAGTAGTTTTTGAAAGAAAAGAGGTAATAAGGAAAGAAGAAAGATGCCAGGGAAACAAAGGTGCTAATTCTCTCTCCAATGATGGAAATAAAGAGTTAGAGATTTAAGAAAGACCATGCTTCACCAGAAAAGCTAGCTGAATGGTTAATAAGCATATGAAAAGATACTCAACTTTATTAGTCATCAGGAAAATGCAAATCAAAACCAGAATGACATAAGCATGAACAGTCTGAAAAAGAAATTAAGAAAACAATTCCATTTTCAATACCAGAAGAACAAAATACCTAAGGATAAATTTAACCAAGGATAGGAAAGATTTATGCAGTGAAAATTGCAAAAGATTGCTGAAAGAAATTAACATCCCATGTTTTTGGATCAGAAGATTTAATTAGTATTGTTAAGATAGCAGTGCTACTTAAAATAATCTATAGATTCAATGCCTTATCAAAATTCCAATACCAGTTTTGCAGAAAATAACAGACCAGTTTTGGGGGGTGGAAGTATGTCTCAGGGGTAGAATGCTGGCCAGTGAGCTAAAGCATCAGGTACTAAGTTTGAGTCCCCTGTCGTGGATCCAAAAAAAGAAAAGACAAAAAGCCAGTTCTCAAACTCATATAGAATTGTAAGAAAGCCTAACTAACCAAAACAGTATTGCAAAAAGAAGAAAAATGTGGAGGACTTACACTTTTACACTTCTTACAAAGCTTCACAGTTCCAAATATGGTACTGTCATAAAATTGTCTATATAGAATGATGAAATAGAATTCAAAGAAATAATTGAATATATTAATGGTCAACAAGTTCAAAGGTGCCAAGACTGTTTAATATATAATTAATAGTCTCATCAACATATCGTACTGGGACATATTGTAGTGCTGGAGATAGTATCCCAGGTCTTTCAGAAGGTAGGCGAGCACTCTACCACTGAGCTACAATTGTAGCTTTTAACAGGATATTTACACGTAAAAGTATGTTTGAAATTTTTTATTTGTGTATTACTATTATTATGATGATTATTATTGCCAGTCCTTGGGCTTGAACTCAGGGCCTGGGCACTGTCCCTGAGCCTCTTTTGTTCAAGGCTAGCGCTCTACCGCTTGAGGCCCAGCACCACTTCTGGCTTCTTCTGTGTATGTGGTACTGAGGAATTGAACCCAGGGCTTCATGTTTGCTAGGCAAGCACTCTACCACTAAGCCACATTCTCAGCTCTTATTTTTAATTAAAAAAAATTCTTATTATAGATGTGATGTACAGAGGGGTTACAGTAACATAAGTCAGGAATGAGTACATTTTTTTTTGAACAGTGTTACTCCTTCCCATGCTTTCTCCCAGTGTTTTTTAGATTGAAAAGAAAAAAGTGTTTATAGTATTGGGGTTTGAATTCAGGGCCTGTTAGGCAAGTGCTTTGCCAGGCATTAATGGCTTACTCCTGGAATTCCAGCTACTACAAAATTTGAGATCTGAGGATAAACATTTGAAGCCATTTGGGTAGACAAATCTAAAGACTTGTCTCCACTTAATGGAGGGCTTAAATGGTAGAGTGCCAGTCCTGAATGGAAAAAGTTAAGTAAGAGTTTGAGGCCCTGAGTTCAAGCCCTTGTACCAGCTGAGAAAGTGTGAGACCTGAGTTCAAACCCTGCTACTAGCAGACAAAAATCTATGAAGTCAGACTCCCTACCTCATACCACATGCAAAAATGGATTTAATATGGTCTGAAAAGCGTACAGAGAGCTAAAACTATGAAATCTCTTAAAAGAAAGGTTAAGAGTTGATCTTCCTGACTCTTGGATATTTTGTTTTGTTTTTCAAGACAGAGTCTTGCTATGCAGCCCAGGCGGGCCTCAAAGCTCAGAATGTAGCCCAGGAACCTTTGAACTTGATCCTCCTGCCTGAACTTTCCCAGTGCTGGGTTTATAGTCCTATACCATTACAAAACTGACATGAGTTTGGCTTGTGGCAAAAGATTTTCAGATAAGGCAGCAAATGAAAAGATGGATAATTTACACATCATTAAAATAAAAAAGTTTTAGGGACTGGTGATATAGGTTAGTGAGAGTAACTAC